TTATATGAAATATAACTGTTTCTAAACAACTTTTTGCTCAGGATTTCCTTTTACTTCCTTGGTCCAACTCCAAGTCATTGTCTGGAGCAAATGAAGAAAACACAGGGTGTCTCTAGCAAACATCAGCAGTAGCTGTTTGGAAATTGAGGAATAATAAATAACAAGGAATAATAGAAGTGCTGTTTCCTCTGGATTTTAAACAGGGATGTTGAAAAGAAAATGTTGATTCCATATATATAAGAGAAAATGAGAATATCTACAAAGGATTCTTTTATTTCTAACCAGGAGCAAAGAGGTTTGTTTCAGCACTAGTGACATTCCCAAGATTCATAATAACTTCATATCTATATATCTATAGATATTGATATATAGATATATATCAATAAACCTTCAAATGTATTTCCTATGGGAATTAATTATGAAAACCGGTTAACTAGACAGCAGATTTGTTGCTCATCTTCCCTTTGTTATTGACACATTTCTTCAGTCCCAGTGTTGAAATGTCACTTAAACCCATGACATGATTAACATACACCCCCAGGTGTTGTTGCCACGGTGGCTGATTGGAAAAGCTGGAAAATAAGGCCCTGTGGCTTCCCAGTGAAAAGAGAAAGAACCTCATGGGTTTTATGCAGCCAGAGCAGTGCAGGACAGGTTAGTGTCAGTGCTGGGGACGTGTTTTGGTAAATATCTGTTGGATTTGGTATTAATTTTGTCAATGGCTTTTGCTGAGTGTCTGTAGGACTTGATATAAATGTGTTTTTAGTATAAAATTCACTTTAAACTTTCCAAATACCTCCTGGAGCTGAAGTGACTCTTTGGGCTGATGGAAATGAAATCTTTATTATTACTCCTGTTGTTCAGTTTGGCTTTAGTCTGCTCAGACTCGAGAGCTCAGCACTTCTCTCAGGGTGCACCAGAGACTCAGACCTCAGAGAGTTAAAGCTTCAAACGCTGTGCAGAGGAGCAAATTGGGTAACTGTGCTGAGGCAATTTGCACTTTGGTCTCTGACTGGGGAGGTGGATAGAAACCAGGAGAGCCTCCAACCCCCTGCTGAGGGTTGGCGGGAGAACACACGCGGTGATCTGGAGCTTTCTCTCTACCTTCCCATGTTCCCCTCTGCCTTTCTTCCACCCCTTGGAGGTTTAAACTGCTGCTGCCACAGAGAAAACTTTCCAGTTGAGCTTTTGGCATTGTTTCACCTTAATTTATCCCCGGGGCCTGACCAGGGAGATAAGCCAGACTTAGTCCTGTGCCCCCTGAGCAGCTCCCTGTGCTCAGAGCTGTGTAACTCTCCAGAACCAGGATCTGCCTTCCATCAGCATCAGCATGAGCCTGGCTGCACCTTACTGCTTGCAGTTTTCAAGTGAGACTCTAAACTGATGGTCTTTGACACTAAATGCTCAGACAATGTCTTTCTGCAGTATAGTAGAGACTACAGAGCTGACTAGACCTGGTGAAGGGGCAGGAAAAGCTAAGGAAAGTTTGCAGTAATTTCTCTTTTTTTTTTTTTTTTTTTTTAGAAGAATGGAAAAATACTGATTTACCATGAAAAGTGGCTTTAGTGTTACTGTTGCTTGGGGCTTTACAGTGTGATTTCACTAAGTGGCAAAGGAGGGAAAAAGTTAAGAGTTTCAGTGTTGCGCTTCAAGTAACCCAGGATTTATCTCCTGGTAGTGGTGGTATCTGTAAGGGCTGTTGAGTTGGGCTTTTTGTGCCAGAACCTCAAGAGAGTTTCTAGTAAATTTAATGCTCCAATGATTATATTAAAAAAGTAACACTAGAAACAAGTTAGGGAAGAAAAAAAAGCTTCTGTGCTTGTTCTATTCTTACATTGAACATGTTACTCTCAGTGGGAGAAAATGCTCATAGTTATGATGTTATTTAGGAATTCTTGTTGTGACTTTTACCGGTTTCTTCTACTGTTTCCCAGTGTAAACAATATCTAGTGGCAGTTGCTGCTTTCCCTGGGTTTTTAAGGCAGAGGTTGGATATGGAAACACTGTGGTCACTTGGATGGTGAATGCAGCTCTGACTTTGCTGAAATCCTTGAACCATTGCTCATTTCACTCAGATTTTGCCTTCCTTTCTTCCCCTTGGCAATAAACTGCCAAAGTAGAGGATTACTGGTTAGGAAATGTCATGTTGACGCACTTGGGTCAATAAAATGACTTTAAATGAGTTGATTGTGACAAAATAATCCCATTTTTCCTTTTCAGTTGTCCTGGTCTGGCCATGGATTGCCTGGAGGAGGAGTTAACCTGTGCCATCTGCTACAGCATCTTCGTGGACCCCCGAGTGCTGACCTGTTCCCACACCTTCTGCAGGAATTGCCTGAAAGGTCTCATTGAGCAGCTGGACAACTTCTCCCTCTGGAGACGCCTCAAGTGTCCAAGCTGCAGGACTCTGGTGGAAATTCCTGCAGCTGGAGCAGAATCTTTGCCCATCAACTTTGCACTGAAAGCTGTGATAGAAAAGTGGCAACAAGAAGGTCCCTCTGGTGTCCCAACCTGCCCTGAACACCACAAGCAACCACTGAACATCTACTGCCTCTTGGATAGGAAACTGGTGTGTGGGCAGTGCCTCACCATAGGGCAGCACCATGGGCATCCCATAGATGACCTCCAAAGTGCCTACCTGAAAGCCAAGGAGACTTGTGGGAAGCTCCAGGAGGAGCTGCGTGACAGACACTGGAAACACGTGTTCCTGCGTTACATGCTGCTGAAGGAGCGCAAGTGCCAGTGTCAGACCGCCGTGCTGGGAGAGAAGGAGGTGGTGGTGCAGTACTTTAAGAAGCTCAGTGACACCCTGGAGCTGAAAAAACAAGCTCTGCTGACGGCACTGGATGAGCTCAACAGCCACATCATGGAGGAGTATGAGCCACTCATCGAGCAGGTGCAAAACATGAAGCTGGAACAGATTAAACTGTACAGCCTGAGCTTAGCCCTTCTAAAGGAAGAGTCTCCCCTGGCTTTCCTGGAGGGGCTGGAGCGGCTGCAGCAGCGACTTCAAGCCCTGAGGCAGAAGGAACTTCCAGCTGTTAAATCTCTGGAGATTTACCCAAGGATGAGGAATGTGCTGGAGGACTTGTGGGCCAAGACCAAAATCAGTCAGATCAGTGACATCTTCACTCCCACACTAACACTGATTCCCCAGAGGAAGACCTGCAGCAAATGCCCTGGAAAGAATGTAAGAGGATCTAAACGTGTACCTCAGGTGCAGCTCAAGGCTGTGAACCTTCCTGCAGTCCTGCTGCTCTGTGTGGTGCTGACGGTGACAGTGTATTCCCTGCACAAAGCAGTGTCAGCCGGGGCCATCCGA